TGACTCGTGGCCTGACGCACAGCCAAGGGACAAGGCCTTCCTGGAGGCAGGCTATTTGCTTAGGGTTCACTTGACAAGTTGAAGTCTCACACACCCTCCCCTTTGAGCCTTGGAAGTCTCATCCCACATTTTATTTGAGGCTGGGCAGACTGGCTTGATGTCTCTCTGTGGTCATTTGCACTGCGATAGGTGTTGCAGGGGGAGGCGAAGCATCTTTGCAAGGAGGAGTCCCCAAGATCCAGGCAGAAGGCCACACTTGTCTGTTCTCATGCTGTGCTGGCGTACTGCGCTGCAGACAGAAGATGACATCGACCTGATCGCAGAGGCCTTTGTGGACGAGGTGTGCACTTTATCCAGCCCACGTGATGCAGCATTTTGTCGCCAGGCCAAAATTATCGCAGCGAGTGAAGTGATTGGCCCTAGAAGAAAGCTGTTTGAGCTGGCTGCCATCAGTCTGAGTGCCAGTGCACGCGTGCTGCTGCGCACTAAGCGCCTTGGGCCATACTAATTTGCATTAATTCATGGGTGCCATAGTTGTCAGAGCAGCCCACGGGTTCCAGTTGGTCCAGTGGCACCCTGCCGGGCCAGAGCTCAGTTAGCAAGTGCGAAAATCCCCACGGTCACTGCAACGGTCACTGCAGTGAGATGTCTTCACACTGAAGCAAGTTCCCATTAAGCACTGCAGCACGACCTGACATGGTGCAATCTGTCTTTGCTCACCTGCACTGCATTTTTCACATCTAAAGTGCATCTCTCTAGGTTGAGGCTGATGGGTGCAAGCTTGTTTTAGGTGTGGGATAGGTGCTCGGCAGAGTGATGCATCTCACCAAAGTGCGCAGCAGACTTCTTTTTTTCTACAGCGCAGTAATGGATGCTCGCCAGCACTGCGTGCCTGACTTCACACCTGCGTGGTCACCTAATTGTCCCAGCTAGCACGCACTGCATTATCCTGACATACTTGCAACAGACATCGCATGTGGGCACAGTGCATTACCATGTTAGCATGTCACGTTGGCTGCAGGAAAATGAAGGGCAAAGGCAACGGGTAGGTGTCAGAGGCGCGCGCCTTACTCTTTGCCTTCCCCCTTCATTTTCCTGGCTGCGCGCAAGCACTCACACGCATGCGCACACGTTTGCTGCAGGACGCACTTGCTGCACCCGCGTTTACGCAGCACTGGCGGGTGCTGGAAGCAGCCCTGACGGACGCACGCATGCGCGCGCATGCGCACACTGCGTGGCAGAACATGTCTGAAGCACGGCCCACTTGCGTGAGAGGGACAAGAATAATGGCGACTGCAACGAGTGGATGTCAGACGCAGACACCTTACTCGTTGCTGTCTCCACTTTTCTTTCCTGCACACACTCTCATATTTGCTAATATGCACTAGTATTTTCTCACACGCTCACACGTCTCATATGCTCTCATATCTTGTCATATGCTCTCATATGTTCTCATAGCTTTTCATAGCTGTTCATAGTTTCTCATAGCTCCTCATATGTTCTCATATTTTCTCACATGTTCTCTTAGATCATCATGGCACTTAGCACTGTGTGGCTCTCATGCACTCTCATATTTGACACTGTTTATCACATCTGCACACATCACATTTATCATATGTTCTCATAGATGCCCTGAGTGTCTCACACGACTGTCTGGCTTTCTCACATTCTCTCGCACATACCTCTCGCACTTCTCACTTGTTCTCATATTATATGCATTGATGGCACCTCATTGCAAGTTTCTCATATCACATCACCCACTCACATACTTCACCAACTGCACCCTCTGACATCTTCTCAGATGTCTCATTTTTTTTCTCATAGCTCATCATATTTCTCACACTGTTCTCATATTTTCTCATATGTCTCATAGTTTATCATAGTTTCTCATACTTTTTATATTTCTCACATTTCTCACGTGTCTCACATCTCTCATAGTTTCTCATAGTTTCTCATATTTTCTCATATTTCTGATACGTTCTCATATTTCTCATTTATTCTCATATGCTTATCATATGTTCTCATATTTCTCCTGGCCTCTCACATTTTCTCATATTTCTCATACTTGGCCCATATGTCTCATAGGCTTATCATGTTTCTCATAGTTCCTTGCATTTGCTTCGCATATGGTCTCAGACGTTCTCATAGTTTAGTGCGCATTTCCCACATGTTCTCATATATTCTCATAGGTGCTCAGGAGGGAAACGTGACAAGACATGCAAGTATAGGAAGTTGCACTTCCCATGTTTGCATCTCTTGGCAGGTTTCCCATTATGAGCTCATCAGTGCAGTGGTAAAGTCCACTCATCTTCTCACATTTTATCAAGTTCTCATATTATACGCGTTGATGGCACCTCATCACAAGTTTCTCATATCATTTCACGTGCTCACATACTTCATCATATGCTCTCGCCTTTTCGCACGTGTTCCCATAGCTTCTCACAGTGTATCATAGTCTCTCATAGTTTCTCATATTTAACTGCATGCTTTAAGGTTTTATGAGTGCCAATGAGTGCACTGACTTGCAGGCTGCGTGTTCTGCACGAAAGCATCATGCACGCACAGGGCACAGGGTGCAAAGGAAACTGACAGGTGAAAGCAAGGGACTGGCGCCACGAGTGGACCACTCCTTTGCTTTCCCCCATCAGTTTACTTGTGAGAAAATATGAGAGAAGCTACGAGAACCTATGATAAACTCTGGGAAAATAAGAGTGCGCTACAAAATGTGAGAGCATATGAGATGCGCGAACAAGTCTGAAAATGTGAACAATGATTAGCAAGTGCGAGAACATATGAGAGCATATAGTTAAATGTGAGAAGTGTGAGAAATCTACGATCAGCTATGATAAGCTGTGATGACGTGTGAGAGCACGTGAGAACACGTGAGACATGTATGAGAAAATATGAGACATGTGAGAAATGTGAGAGATATGAGAAATATGAGAAACTATGAGAAGCTATGAGAAATATGAGACATATGAGAGTGCATGAGAGTATGTATATATAGCACTGAAGTAAGATGTGCGATAACTTGGGAGCAACTTGAGAGAGTGCGAGGCAAGCCGTATGAGACAGTGTGAGAAGCAGGCTAAATTATATGAGACGTGTATAAGTGCAAGCTAGTCAGAAGCAGACTAGGCAGTGCAAGACTGTGCGTGTAAGAAGTCTAAGAACGTCTGCATGTGTAAGAGTGAGTAAAAAGAGGAATGCGCGGTCCAGAATGAGAGAATGTAAGAAATATGAGAGCATATGAGAGTGTGGGAGGAGGTAAAATAAATGCCAGCTGTAGCTGCAGGGCTGCTCAGAGATGGCTCAGAGCGAAGGCATCAGCTGCCTTTGGGGCAAGCTGAGGCTACCTGCAAACAAGCTCCCTCGCTGCTCCTGGCTGCAGGCTCCAGGCACCTAAGCTCTAGGCTCCAGGCGCCTTCCTCGCCAGAGCTGCGAGCAGCCTTCTGGAGGCCTGATGCTTACCTGCTGCCCTGCCCCCCTACCCCTGAGACGCCTGGTTTGGCTTCTCGCATTCGTGGTGTACAGCCGTACACCACTAATGAAATCAGGGAAAAGCGAGACGCCCTATGTTGGAGTCCCAAATGCATCAGGGCAGCATTCGGGAGTCTCACTTTTCCCTGATTTCATTCGCGGGGTACAGCCGTACACCACTAATGCAAGAACTGAAAGATGAGACGCCAGGGCTCGGTGTTTGGCGGGGCGAGGGGGGTTGGGGAAGGGAAGGGGAATGAGGGAGAAAGGGTGGGATGGCTACTCGCGAGACACTTCCTCAGCGAGACGCTGCCTCGCCATTCGTGGTGTACGGCCGTACACCACTAATGCAAAAAAAAAACGAGACGATGGGGGGGATGAGACGCTGGAGTGAGACGCTTGGGCCGTTCGGGGTGAGACGCTGCTCTGGGGTGAGACCATCTTTTGATCCTAACTTGGATGAGACACTCTTTTCTACTGCCAGGCTTCAGGGGAAATCCCATGTCTTCGCAGCTGCACTCATGTGGGGTTGCACGAGTGACTGTCTTTCCTGGCTTGGGCCAATGGGGTGAATGGGCGCGGTGCCAGGTGCTGATATGTGGCATCACCTGGTGCCAGCTGGCGGTCAGGACCCGGAAGTCCTTCGACGGAAGGAGCTTCGCAAGGCACGCAACAAGCGGCATCGAGATCGCCCGGGCCTGGCTGATGTGCGTGGTGCAAGCTCCTCTTGGCCAACTAAGGTGTCAAGGATGGCCAGGTCAGTCGGCGCAAGCCGAAGGATAAGCCACAGGACGCCATGCCTGAGCCAAGTGGTGCTGGCAAAGCCGGCCAGCACGCCAAGGACTGAGAGAAAGGCCTTCTTGCAGGCCTGCATGGCTGGGGAGGGACTCAGCATCATCGCGGCAACGCACGCCTACGCCACATGCCCTTCTGCCCTTGCCCGCAAGCGGGAGCGAGAGGACCGTCGCGCTAGCCGAAAGCCAGGCCGCCGCCGCCTGAAAAAGGCAATCGGTCCAGTGGATCCAGTGGATCCAGTAGTGGATCCAGCAGTCCAGCCTGAGGGAGAGGAGCCGAGCAGGGGCTCACCAAGCTGCGCGGGGGAGGCTGCAGATGATCTCGCTGATCTGTTCTGAGGGCCACAGCAGCTGGGGAAAAGCTCCAGTGGTCCAGTAGGTCTTTTGGATCTAGCAGTACGCGCCAGGATGAGGAAAGCTGCAGATTTCCTCACTGATTTGTCCTGACTTGCTTATAGTCTGTGGGGCTGCAGCAGCTAGGAGAGAGCAAGCTTGCAACTTTTGCAGCCTCGCGCACTCTGCAGTGTCTCCAGGGCTCTAGTAGTGCTCCCGGCTCACTAAGTTGGAGACATGTTCAGTGGCACCAGTGGTTTGCCTGAGTTCTCTACCCCGGATAAGAAGACGCCGAGCCCCTTCAACCCGAACTCAACTTCTGCGCAGTACATGGCCCTTGCTCGCTCTGGGTCGGAGCCTTACAGTCCGCAGAAAGCATGCCTGAATGCACTGATGGCTGTTAGCCATCATTATCAGGTCACTGGATGCTCTTGACTCACCTGCTCCCTCCTCTGCTCGCGACTCAGAGGCTACCTTGCTGCTAGGTCAAGAGGTGCCCACGGACACCAAGCAGCTAGGGCAAGAGCCAGTGCCTTCCCTGGCACCCACAGGCACCACGCAGAAGGAGTCGCCGCCTTCACTGGCGCCAGCTGGCAGGAGGAAGCAGACCAAGAAGGAGATCAGTCGCTGCCTCTTCCCTGAGACCACAGACAGTGCGCCAAACGCAGTGGCTCCAGAGAATCCAGGGCGGGCAGTGGCAGAAGGCCCTGCACGTGCGGTCATGAAGAGGCCAGCAGGGGCAGGAAACTCTGCGCCGGAGAAGGACGCCAAGAAGAAGACAAAGAAGACCACAGACCAGGTCCTTGACGCCGCCATCGAGCCTGTGAGCGACAAGGAAGTGGATGGCGTGAAGCATGGCCCAGAGCCGCCGCCAGGTCTGATGCCCGCCAACTTGCCAGCAACGTTTGGCCGCAAGGCGCCAACAAGCCCTGGCTTGGCACTCATTTGGACAACCTTGCGTGTGGTGTGGTACACACACTGCCCAGCTGAGTCTCGCTCAGAGGGTTTGGCGCGGTCTTTGTATGCCCATGTGAAGAAGACTGTGCCCAAGACCCCTGAAGTCCTGGAGATTGAAGCTGCTGCCCACAAATACCTCATGGAGCACGTCTCGAAGAAGAACTGGTGAGCGGAGCCAATCATGCCGCCAGCCTGCCTGCTCAGGTCCAAGTTTTGGCTAGGCGCTCGACGAGTGGTCCAGTGGGTCCAGTGGGTCTAGTGGGCTGAGAGGGCTGAGCAGCCAAGTGCTTTAGAAACCAGTAGCTTAGGTCATGTGCCACTGCTTAGGCACCCGACTGCGCAGTTCAAAGTTCAAAGTGCTTGCTGCAGCGGTGCGACAGCTCAGAGCTAGCTTCCTTTGCATTGTCTAACACCGCTGAGGCTCCAGTCGGTCCAGCAACTTCCAGTGGGTCTAATGACGCCAGTGGTCCAGTGACTGCCAGGATGAGTGCCGAAGAGGTGAACTCGATCATCTTGCGCCAAGTCAAGCTGACCTTTTTTGGGATATCTCTGGCAGCCCTGGTGCTTCATCCCTTGTACTCCGAGCTGCCAAGAGATTTAGATGTTGCCGAGATCTTCACCACTGCAGGCTCAATATCAGGAGCTGCCCGCCAGACAGGTCTGTCTGCAGAGACTTTTGACTGGGAGAATCCGGGCCAGAGCAGTGTGCTCAGCCAGCAAGGCTTTTGGCAGTGCTTGACCCTTGTCCTTCGCTTGAAGCCCGGCGGGCTGCTGACATTGGCGCCGGATTGCTCCAGCTTCGGATTCGCTTGTCGCCACTGGACGCAGCGGAACAAGAAGAATCCGGAGGGAAGAGCAGACTACACTCCAGCAAGTGAAGGAGCCTTGTTCTTGTTTGCACTGAGCCCACATGTCATTCAGAAGGCTGCAAGGCTGTGCGTGCCTAGAGTGGGCACCAAAGCTGGCTGAGGAAATATCATGGCCAGGATGAGCATATTTTTCTTCTGCGTTGCTGTCCTGCGCGGGGTGGAGGCGACGTTGGAAAACCCCAGTGGCTCTATGATTTTTAGTCTGCTGAGTGACACGATCCGAGACTTGGCTGCAGCTGTCTGGCACCTGTAGTGCTGCCACGGTCAGTCCCCTTGCTGCATAGGATTCTGCTGCTAAGGCGTTCTTGAGTCTGTGCACCGGGCATTCATTCACTACCTGGATCGCTGCGCCTATGATGTCAGTGACCCTCCGAGAATATACAAGCACTTCAAGTTTCTCTGCACAGGAGGGTGGCTGCAGAGTGCTGTCCGCACTTGCAGCTGCCAGTGCAATCATCTGAAGCTGATGGAGGAGACAGTAAACCCAGAGGGCAAGATACAGAAGACTGGCATCAAAGACTTGATGGGCCTCTCAGGTCAATACCCTCCTGCTCTAGGAGCAGCTATGATAGACGCCTGGAAGTCCCGACATGCATGGCGACCACCAACCGCGCAAGCTCCAGACTCAGCCCACTTGAGCAACTCATGGGCATTTTGCTGTCCCACTCAGGGCACCAAGCGAAAAGGCACCGCTGGCAGTGACAAGGAGGCCACTGCGCAGCTGCAAAAGCGGGAAGAGAAGGCTCCAGCCTCGGCTTCTTGCATTGCGCCCCATGGCAAATTCCCAAGATCAGTGTCTCCAAGGCTCAGCCTCCAGCTCCAGTGCATCCAGCACCTGCAGTGGTCGGAGATCTCAGTGCTGATTTTGATCCCTGGCACCTGGATACCAGGCGGCAATGCAGACTCCCATGTTTGCAATTCTGCTTCGTACTTGCGACTTGTCTAAGGATGCCGAAGAGGCACCCAAGCGAACAGGTGCCACTGCACAGCCACCGAAGACTAAAAAGACTCCAGCCAAGGCTTCTTGCATCGCATCACTCAGTCTGATGCAAATTCCCACGCAAGACTGAGATCAGTGTGTCCAAGGCTCAGCCTCCAGCAGCTCCAGTGGCTCCAGTGGCTCCAGTGCATGTAGCCAAGACGTCTTCAGACTCAGCTTCTGCTGAGTTTGATTCCTGGCACTCTGATGCTAGGCAGCAATGAAGACTGCCAGGTCTTGTCTGCCAGGCTCAGGCAGCTTGCAGCTTGTCTAAGGATGCTGCAGCCGCTCACCTGCCTTCAGAGCCAGGTGCTGACTCCTGGGACCCCTGGTGCTCCCGTAAGGAAGCCCAAGAAGCTGTGTGGGATTCTTGGTGTCAAGTTGAAAGCAGTGCTGAAGGTGGCCTGCAGCACAGTAGTCATGAGTCCTGGGACCCTTGGTCCTCCAGTGCTAGTGCTGAGCCATGACATGCTCACAGGCAGGAGGTGGAAAAGGAACCACTGCAGCTGCTGCCACTACTGCTGACTCTGCATCATCGCACTTGTAGCAGCCCGCAGCTATTTGGCAAAGAAGCATGTCAGGGGCTGATCCGTGGGATCCTTGGGCAGGCACTGATGGCAGCACTGGGGATCCTTGGGATCCTTGGGCAGCTGAAGGTGCAGCTGCACAGAAGCCTCGCCGAGGCAAACGCCAGGCACAAGATGATGAGCCCCAGGAGCTGCAGGCCCAGTCTCGCAAGCAGGTCCGTCTCGACTCTTCCCTTGAAGTGGCAAGTAAGCTGTCAGATCGGCGTGCTGGCGAACATGCACCCACTGCATATGAGGTGAGTGGAGCTGACCGGAAGCGCATTCAGTCCGTGGTCGCCACGGCCTGCAAGCGCAGGGGCTGCAAAAGGCCAGGCTGCAAGGCCAAGATGCAGCTTGATCTAGTGGTCCAGTTCGTCCAGCAGTACTGGGGCCTGCTGAGTGATGAGAGGGCCCACTTGCTTCGCTGCACGTACAACGATGTAGCTCCCAGCTCGACTGGAGACATCAAGATTGCAGAGCGGGCAGAGTGGACAGTGTGCGGGGAGTTGGTTTGCTTCACCCGCTTTTGCGCCATCATTGGCTGCAGCCAGCGCACTGTGCGCAACGCAATCGCCGGGCAGCCAGACCTGAGGCGGTCCCGCTCTAGCAACCTTCCTGCCCAGGCCAGGCCAGCTGAGCAGGCTATCAAGTGCGACATGTTTTTTCACCAGCTTCATGCATCCGCTGCAGAGCCAATGCCCGAAGATGAGCAGGCCTATCCCGCTGTCCGGTTTGTGGATGGTCGAGCTGTTCCAGCTGCAAAGGGGTCCAGGAGTGCAGAAGTGCAGGAGACAGACCCAGAGTCTCCTTTGGCTCCAGGGGCTCCAGTGGCTCCAGTGGTGGCTGGCAAGAAGAAGTCTGCATGCAAGGCCTCCCTTCCCTGATCAACATTGACCCATGGGAGGACTGGTCCTTTGACTGGATGGAGACATCACCCCTGACACCAGCAGCCAATGCAGTGGTCCTAGGCCTTCCAGTGCGCAAAATCCAGCACTGTCGCCTGGTAGACCTTTACTGGCAGATGTGCTCTGAATGGGAAGTGATGATAGAGCGCCGGCCTGATCTAGGCGCGAGGCCCTCATATCATACATTTGTGCGACGCTACACATCCCACTGGAAGCATGTTTTGCCCCTTGGCCTTGATTAGCTGTTGACGGTTCTTCATGGTGTGAAGCTATCTCACCCTGCCAAGTCCAGGCAGATGAGAAAAACGTCGCAGCATGGGCAGTGCAAGATCTGCTTCGATCTCTACATGGCCCTTCGAAACCCAAGATCCTCTTGGGAAGCCAAGGCGGAAGCAGCACGAGTGCTTCGCACTCACCATCGGGAGCAATATACGGATCGCATGCTGTACTGGTCCCTGAGGTGGTCCAGCATCAATGCTAAGAACTGCCTGGTCATCATCATAGATGGCATGGGCAAGTTTCCCACCTCCTGGCCACACCTGGGCCACGACAGGGTGTCAAAGGAGCTCGAGAACATCGTCAAGCCGAAGATGGTGATCACAGGTGCCCTAGCACATGGCTGGGGAACATTTCTGTATGGCACCGCCGAGCAGCACAACCATGGTGCAGAGACTCGGACTGCATGCAGTGCCCATACTCTGCACAGCAAGGCAGCAGCAATAGCACAGCTAAGGACCACTATGGTGAGGTCCTCTGCCGCGTGCTAGACATCATTTTTCGGTCCAGTAGGTCTAGTGGTCAAGTAGTGCCAGAGCACTTGATCCTTGTCGCAGACAACACAGTGGCTCAGTGCAAAAACCAGCAGACCTTGCTCTTTTTAGCATACCTCGTGGCGAAAGGGTACTTTGCCTCAGTCACCCTCTTTCACCTCATGGTAGGTCACACGCACGAGGCCAGGGTGTGTCCATGCTTTGTGGGCTGATTTCTGCCTGCACCTTCTGGCAGGACATTGACCAGCTGTTTGCCCTCATCAAGGCAGGGCCCACGCATTTCAGGCTGCACGTGTTGGCTAAGCCCTGGCCAGGCAATCCTGGCCGGGATGCGGACGTGGCAAACACCCAGGGACATGCTTCAAGGTATCAGGCAGAAGCTGGAGCCACGCGTCAGGAGCAAGGGGGAGTTCTTGATCACGGACGAGATCACCGCTGTGCACGACTTCAAGTCCTGGCTCGCGCCCTTGCCAGTTGCTGCGGCCTCAAGTTGGCTTCCTCACTTGGCACTCCATGGGAGCACTCATGTTCATGTCCGAGTCCGAGCCGCGTGGGCCACACTGCCCTAACCAAGGAGATGTCAGGCTGCTTCAAGCCAAGATATGGCATTCCTGCTCCCCACTGCTTCATGCTCATGAAAGGTCGCCAGCTGACTCGTGCGCACAGCTCAATGCTAGACGACACTCCAGACCCTGATGGCGTGTACGTGTGCATAAAGTCCTATGTGAGAGACACAGTGCTTCAGCAGCCGCCCGAGCTGCTGCTCACCCCACTCTTACTCGGCAGGATGTCCCGAAGTGTGCCTGGTCAAGTCCTGCCACGTCGAGAGCTGGGCGACTCAGAGATCAAGAGCTTCCTGAAGCTGGCCCAGCTGTGCATCAAGTATGGCATGCCCCTAGCAGAGAGTGCTCTCAAGGAAATGGTGTACCAGAGGGTGTACAGCGTTGTCGATCTTAGCTGGCTTGCTGAGCAGGTTGGCCGAATGCGTGGTCTGCGCAATCTTGCCACCGGTGATCATTTTTTCCCGCACTTGCCAGACTCAACCTGGCAAATGTCAGTGCGGCTGGGGTGATTGAGCCA